GCAGGAAAATGGATGGAACTTGAAGAAACCATTCTGAGGGAGGTAACCCAATCACAAAAAGACAAACATGATATGTACTCACTCATATGTGGATTTTAGACATAGAGTAAAGGATTACCAGCCTACAATCCACACTGCCAGAGAAACTAGTAAACAAGGAGGACCCAAAAAGAGACAAACTTTGTCCCCTGGAGAAGGGGAAAGGGTCACCATCCCCTGAGCAAATTGAGAGCATGGGAAGAGGGGGGAGGAAGCTACGAGAGTGAGAAGGGAAGAAAAGGAAGGATGCAGAGGTCATGAGGGAGCAGAAAGGTTGAGTCAGGTGTTGATTAGAAGAACGGATATGTGATAGGTAGGTTTTTTAGTTGGGGGGTGGTAGTGGAGGAAGAGAGGGAGAAGAGAACTGGGATTGTCATTTAATCCAATCTTGTTTGTAATTCAAATTAAAAAAAAAAAAACACTGAACATGCAAAGCAGGAAAGTGTGACCTTTGTGACAAGGACAAAAGTTTTCAAATAGAGATATCCAAAAAACGACAGAGATGATGAAATTCCTAGCAGCAGAATTAAGTACCATGAACTGATGAAAAAAATCCAGTCAGGTCTATACCTAGTAAAGAAACACAATATGTAGTTAAAATCCTTTCCAGAGAATTTCAAAGGTAAATCTGTTACATACATAAAAACCAGCAGGGACTACTCATGACAACTATATCAAAAACACAAGATGCAAAAAGACTCCATACAATATTATAAGGCAGCAGAGTGGAATTTAGCCCATTCTGTGGTTGGCACAAAAACAATGCCCGTATAAAAGCAAGAGACATTATGTATTAGTATATTACTAAAGGTGGAAAAAACACAGGATCATCTCCAAAAATACAGAAATGCCTCTGAAATAAAATGGAATATCCATTTGTTACTGTTAGGCCTCAGGCTGTCCAACAATCCAGAAACCAGATAAAACTGAACAACAGGAGGATTTCTGGAGTCAACGTTCCTGGGGAACTTGTAAAACCACTTCCCTTCTGCAAAAAAAGGAATCCCTTCCCTCTGGAAGAAGTGGCATATGGCTACCTGGGGTTGCATATCAAAGCTGACCTCCAGGCCCCCTCAGTACCCTTCTTACCTCCTCCCCACCCTAAACTCCCTCCAGCTCCTGGGCCTCCCTCCCCAGCTGCTCAGCCTTTTAACTTGACTGTTGTCTGTCCAATTCTCACTTCCAGTTTTGCTCTGCTCTGTCCTCTCTTGTGATCTCACCATCTTCTCTCCTCCTCTCCCATTTCCCTAACCCTGGCCATGTCCACTCTGCTGGCTATGTCCAACCTAGTTCTTTCTCTCTCAGCTCTGGAGTCTTCCAGACATCTCTGGGGCTGCTCGCTCGCTCTCTCTCCCCCCACCCTCTCTCAATAAAAATCTTAACTATATCATAGGGCAGTCATGTCAGCAGTTTCTTCCCCCCCCTCAATAAAAATCTTAACTATATCATAGGGCAGTCATGTCAGCAGTTTCTTTACTACACCCCGTCACATACAGTTATCAAGCCTCTGAGCAAACTCGACTAGGTAAAAAATGTCTTCAACCTGATCAAGAACATCCATGAATAACTGAGTACCATAGTCATACATGAAGTCGAATGCAACCCTGAAAGGTGAGGATGGTATCTCATTACATGTTTTCTTTGAATGGGGTGGGGTGGGCTCAAGATTTAATGCTGTTCCTCAATAGCTGTCCACCTCTCTATGTTGAGCCTCTACCTTCCTGAAATAAGGATTTTCCTGCATGCCTGCCTTTATACATAGGTGAGAAGGATCAAACACTGGCTTAACCATCACAGGGTATTGATTACTCTCTACATTCTGATAGCAAGGTCCTACTGCAGAAAACACCAACTATTTATGTCATCAAACACAGAAGAATTGAGCTGGTGCCCAATGAGCAGCTTCTCCCCTACTGACAAAGCTTCATGGTGCCGCATGGTGCTACTAGAGAAGACAATTAATCGTCAATGTCACCCAGCGAGAAACCCTGTATTCCTTCACATAGGAAGGAATAAAGAAACCTGGTTAGAGTCCAGTTGGTTTTGGTGAAGATGTAAAGATAGAAAACACTGACGGAATGAACTCTAAGCTTAGAAACTACCTTAAACACAGACAACACTAAAATACCCCAAAAAGCAAAATCTGCCCAAGTCCGACACACAGTGGAGGAAGCACCTGTTGTCTATGGAGGTCAAAAACCACACAGTTTACTCCCTCAGAAGCCCTTCTTCTCTTGGCAATACTGCTGAGTTAAAAGGCCACTCTTAAGCAATTGCAAGCTTTCTTCTGTCCATAGAAGGCCAGCAAATCTTGATTTGCACTATAAATAAACTAACAAGAAACAAGCATCAGCTGTTACAACTGTAGTTTGTTTTTAAGTAGGGAGGGAGGGAGGCAGGAAAGAGGGAGGAGGGAGGGAAAGAACAGGTAAACTGGCAGAGGTGCTTCTGACAAACAGGAGAGCCTCTTTAGAAATCACTGAATCCACAAACATCTGTGATCCTGTTCTAGGCCCTCAAAGCTTCCCTGAGTGTGTGGGGGGGGCCCACTAAGCAACTGTGATCTGTTGTCTGAAAGGACCTCCCCCTTCCCTCAGCATAAAGGACAGCAGTGCTCATGTCCTCCACATCAGAGTCTCCTGTCCTCAGAGGGACAAGCTGCAGGCTAAGTCAAGGCTGTTCTGTTCTCCCAGAATACCTTTCCTTGACTTAATAAGCAGCCAGTTCTCAGCAACAGATTCACCTGCCTGTTAACACAAGACCTTAGCTTTTCAGATGACTTAACTAAGAAGCTTGTAACAAATAAAAACAGAAGTCTAAGTGTCAAATCAACAGCACATGCAAAACCACCTAAAACAGGCTACACACTAGGAAACCACATCATCTGTAATGACCTTGAGGAAAATGAAATTACAGAGGAGCTTCCTTACCACCAAGAAACCACTGCTTCCATTAGTGCTCACCCCTAGGGCTGGTAGCCGTTGTGTACAGCTCACTGCCACCTTCAGCTTCCAGTCGGTCTCACCATCTAGCTGGTCCGTGCGGATAAAACATGAACCTTGGAGGTAGAGGAGAAAACATCAGCATCTGGAACCGCACTGAAGAAGAGTTCTCCTGGGCTATAAGTGTTTTCAGAGCAGATTTCGGCACAGTGGGACCCAGAAAGTGATTCATCTAAATAGTCCAAAGAACAAACAGCTTTAAAAGCCCTCATTTCAGATGGTATCACTTGGCTCAGAGAATAAATCTGTACAAAGACAGCCATCAATCTATTTTTCAATCACTTACATCCTGTTTAGTGCCTTTGCTTTTCTTGTAGTGGTAGTGATGGTGATAGCAGTGACAGTATTTGTGCCTGTTTTGCTTGGTTCTATGGCTCAAACCCAGGGCCTTGAGCATGCTAGACAAGTGCCCAACCATTGAGCTACAACCTGCCCATGCCTGTTAAGGTTCAATATCAACTACTATTTTATTTTAGAAAGTTATCTAGATCATTTCTACTTTTAATCTATGTTTTGATGGTGACAAGATAATAAGATACATACAAAAATATCTCAGAGTCTGACATTACATTGGTAATAAAATGTTAATTGACCAACATAAATGTTCAGTAATACAAGCACAGCAAAATGCTAATACCCAGGTAAGTACTATTGCATAATAACAAACCCATCAAATTTCAAAAGGGGGAAAATTTGAATCACAGCAATCTAATTACTCAGACCATACTCATCATCCCTTTTCTCAGAATTGATCCTAGGAAAAAAGCAAACACAAATGCGCTAAATGATACACATAGAACATTTGCTGTAACTGTTTACAATAAGGAAAGGTTGACACAAGGATTAGAGAACTAGTGGAATAAAACAGCAGAGGCAGCAATTAAAAGAGGACAAGAGCAAAGAGCTCAACATTACAAAAAAGATCCATAGGCACATTGTTAAGTGGAAAAATACAGTACACACACACAGCGGGGAGAAGAAAGGGGACAAAGAGAGAGGGAGAGACAGAGACTTGTCAGAGGAATGGGGGCACATACTTGCAATGTCAGTACTTGGGTGGTAGAGACAAGAAGATCTGGAATTCAATGGTACCCTCAGCTACACAGAGCATTTGAGGACAGTTTGGACTACAGAACACCCTGTCCAGGGGAAAAAATAAAACATTATGTTTAAGAAAAGAGAGGGCAAGGCATGTGCAATCAACATTTTTAAAGTGGGATATTCTTGCAGTAGTAAGTGCTTTCTTGAAGGGGGGGTTGATAAGTACTGACATAATGTGGGTTGGGGGTAAAGGAAGAGAGAGGAAAACAGGGTACTATATAGATGTATATTCATTATCATTATTCAATATGTATGTTCATTATCTGTGTGCTGTGTCATAACTACAAGTACGCATATTTGCGTCCTTTTGTGCCTCTTTCTGTGTGCATGTATTTTTTATATGCATGCAGTATTGTGCATCCACAGGTATTTGTTATGTATTCATACATGTGTTTCTGTGCTCTGTGTATAAGTACACCCGTATGTATCTGTACACATACACACTGTTACACACATGCACAAACACAGATATGTGAAACATACCTATATAGGGAAGAAGGGACCAGAGGAATAAATAGCACAGAAGCTACAGACTTCCCGATCATACCCTACAGGGTTCATTTGGAAATTACACATACTTTACATAATTTAAAGAACAAATTACAATAAGCTTGTGATAAAGCAATTCTTTTGTTTTGTTTTGTTTTTCGGGACAGGGTTTCTCTTTGGCTTTGGAGGCTGACCTGGAACTAGCTCTTGTAGACCAACCAGGCTGGTGTCTGGAGATCTGCCTGCCTCTGCCTCCCGAGAGCTGGGATTAAAGTCAAGCGCCACCACCACCCGGCTCGATAAAGCAATTCTTAAACAATAAGACGAAGTACATAAAACATAACAGGATATAGACTACTTGTACTGCACTTGTTAGTGCAAGGCCTTTGATTCAATCCCCAACAGCACAAAAAGCAAAACAAAGAATCATCAAATTCATACTTAACCATGGCGAATGATTCCAAGTTACTTATAAACTTGAATTATAAAAGGACACCTACAAAACCCACAAACCTCACTATACTCCATGCATATTATACTCCAATATGAAAAGGTGTGCACCTTGTAAACAACTGAAAGTCCCTTAGACGTCCTTCCATCCACCTCTCCTGTCACTGCCCCTCCCTCCCCACTGAAGGAACACTACTGACAACTCCACCTCCCAGGTGTCTGTTCTCAGCATAGTATCAAAGTCACCATTAATTTTCAGGCTCCATCTACTCCCTCCCTTACCAATTCGGCTACTGGAAGGCCTGGGGCTATATCTCTATATTCTATCAATACCATTCACCAGTATTCTGAGCTCATCTTACACTGCAAACATGTCAGCCTTTGGTCCAGAGGCACAGGAGATAGCTTCTGTTCTGCCCTAGGCTGGAGCCACTTAGTCAATGCCCAGTGCTACAGCAATGGAGGATACAGACAGGGAGTTCTACCTTTCCTGCTCACTTGCAGCTGCAATAAAACCCAACTAGAGATTTCTGTCCTTAGGATTCCACTGGCCTTGAGGTAGCTCCCTAAGAAAACCATGGCTTGTCCTTCTTTACTTACAATGTTTCAAGACAAGGAGCATGAGTATGGGGGAGAAGAGGAATGAGCCCTGCAAGTTTCACAGAATGCCATCACTGTTATTTTTATATAATTTCAAAAACATCCTACATGTTCAGTGTTTCCCGGGCCACTAAGACTTTGGCTCTGCTGAATGGCTGTTTCTGGGAGAATCCTTTGGAGTGTGTCCCAGTCCCTTCTCAAGGCTCCTAAGAGCCTAGCAAATAGTTTCTCAACCCAGAAAGAGTCTGATCCAGGAACTACCTGAGAAGTTTCTATACATGTTGCCACCTTTAAAAAGATGGCTGCACAGCTTCCAGTTTTTCCAACAATGCCCCTGTTAGTAATGAACCTTGCCAGGCCCCAGTCTTCAGGAAAAGGTACAGACATCTTGTCCTCAGTATCTGTTTCTCCCCCGAGTAGATGCTCTGGGCCACTTCTCTGGGCCTAGAGAACACTTGCTCTTCAAGTGACTCTACAGTATACTTAATATAGTTGTTTGAATCAGAATGGGCATTAGGGAGTGGTGCTACTTGACAGAGATAAGGAGGTGTGGCCTTGTTGGAGGAAGTGTGTCACTGGGGGGTGGGTTTTGGGGTTTCAAATGCTCAAGTCAGGCCCAGTGTCGCTCTCTCTCTTCCTGCTGGCTATAGAATTGGATGTAGAACTCTCAAGCTATTTCTCTAGCACCATGTCTGCCTGAGTGCTACCATGCTCCCCATCATGACAACAATAAACTAAATAAACCTCTGAACTGTAAGCGAGCCCCAATTAAATTCTTTCTTTTATAGGAGTTTCTACAGTCATGGTGTCTCTTCATAGCAATAGGACCTTCACAAATTTCCTTCACCCTGATGAAGCTCACTGGGGTGACAAGAGTTGTGAGCCTGGAATACAGCTCCTAGATATGTCTAGGAGCCGGTGGCAAAAGGTTGGTCAATTGTTCTACCCCAAGTCTACTTCAACAGGGCATCGGCAACATGGGTCTGGGGAAAACAAACACAAGCCAGTTCCTCCTAGTTAGGGCCTTTGTCTTAACTTGGGAACTGCAGATGCCTTGGGAGTTGCTGAACTCCTGGCTACAGGGTCTACAGTAGATATCAGTTGCCATTGACTCAGTCTATTCTTTTTGGGAAAAACATCTGAAAAATACCGAAACAATTATTCTCAAGATATATCTGAACATTTGATATTAGCACAGGGGTTCTCTTGAGCAAAACCCAGAAGGCCTACCTTAGTTTTCAACCAGCAACAATTTATACTTGGCAGCTTTAACAGACACTTGGTTTCCACAACAGTGCATACTGGGGATGATCCTGGAATCTAGTCACATAAAGACCTGGATATTTTCAGCAAGCTACAACTCAGAAAAGTAACCCTATGTTAGTTATTGTTCTCATTGTTGTGAACAATGCCTGTCACAACCACAGGGAGCAAGATGTATGGTGACTCATGGTTTCATCAAATTTAATTCATGGCCATTTGGTCTCATGTCCTAAGGACAGCAAATCATTATGGCAGCAAGACAGTATGGCAGAAGACAATTGGCCATATGACCAAGGACAGGCAGAAAACAAGAAGCACTAATGCTGGATATGTTTTCTACTTTTTCCCTTTTCGGGTGCACTCAGTGGTAGCCCTCACCAATCTTTGAAGTAATCTAAATTCTGTCAAGATGTAATGAAGGGTTAACCATAATAGACCCACAAACAAAACTTAAGGATTCCTATAGTGTAGCAGAAGGCAGAAGGAAGAATCAGACACCCCGGAGCCAAACAATGATCTGACAATGTACTACCTGTTGTGCCATGTAAGGTTACATTTATATTAGGAAACCTTGCTTTTGTTCTTTTTTTTCTTCATCTACCCAATAAGAAAAATATCTTTGAAATCATGCTGTAAAACTTATAGGAAAAATTTCATGAAGTCTGCCAAGAATGTATGTTATGTAAACTCATTAACTGATTGTTTATTACTTTTATTATTTCTGAAATCTGAAAAGACAAAAGTAGGTAAGACTATATCTGCACATAGCTGCATCCAATAACCCTTTCTACAGCACAACCATCTGAAATGAAAAGAGGTCATGAAAACCCATGCCTATAATTACCTTGTTTCTCCTTGATTGCCAGAGAAGAAACAATGTCTGTACCAAGCCAGTGAATATTCTATTGCTTCTACTCTGTAGAAAGATCATTTTGTTGTTGTTCACATAAAACATTTTCAGTTAACCATAGCTGCCAGCAATTTACTGTCTCAAATGTGCCCCAACGCCAGAAGCACATCACTACTTTTTCTTTAATCCCTTTAGCTATCTGAGCGTAGGCATTATCATTGTGAAAATGACTCTAAGAGTCTGAGATCGGAATCTGCTCTGAAGCCTGGCAAGACCAAGAGCTTTAAGAAGATTTCTCAACTA